AAGGGTTTTCATGAATGCCGCTCGAAGGAGCACACTACATTAAAAATAAGCACGGAAAATTTTGATAGGGAAGGCATGATAGGAGGATATAGGAAATGTGAATAGCCCAGGGCAGAAGGGAAGATACCACAACTGTTTAGCATACGTCTGGTCAAAGGATGGGCTTCACTTGTTTCTTTGACGAGTTGTAATATGGTGCTACGAATGGCGAGACTCAATGACGATGCTGGCAAAACGTTTCGGAATGTACCACGTCCACGGTCCTACTCTGGAAATGATGATGCATACAATGGACTCTGGACTAGGTGCATTCTTTTAAGTCTTCCCTACCAATATGATCAAGTTGCGAAAACAAGGCAAAACAACTTCTGTACTATCTATTTTTCACGATGTACTTGATCGAAGATTCACCAGAGCAAGGTCGTTCTAGTTTGCAGCAATATAAAGAATTTCAATCTAGCTGAAAAATGTCAAATAATCTGACTGATGAAGTATGGTAAGACTTTCAAAAAAGTAGCCAGTATAAGCCAAATATGGAGCAGCTATATAGATGACTTTTGTATTTCTGAGTACATAGCCCCAATACCTGAGGTTTTCCAGCAGGCGCCACCACTGTGGCTGTGACGAGTTGCCCAGTACCTGGTGCAGAACACAGTTGCGATTCGCTACCAGTTTGCGACAGTAGTTTGTCCAGTAACGGGGGAGGATTTGCTGCAGGAGATTGTTGAAGTGGGACTTGAACAAGTAAGGGAGGCTGCGCTTCTTGCGGGGCTAAAGGGGAAAATGAAGGTAAAATTATGGATGTTAGCCTAGGAGAATGAAGAACCGAACTTAAACAAGATTTGACAAGGATCTTGTTTAGAGTGGAGGATAAATGAAGCTTAGCGCTTGAAAGATAGGCAACGAATAATCTACAGGCAGTCGGATTACTATGTACGCCAAATATATAATGGAAAGCCAATGTCGAATAATGCCTAGGCAATTATACGCCATTTTTAAAAATATAGTCGAATGATAAAGATTAGTAAATTTTCTGAATTGGAAAACAAATAAAGATCACCATGGAGCTGTGACAATTAAGGAGGAAGAATTGATATAAGTCCTCATCGTATTGTACTGTGGGTCCGATTAATCTATGCAAATACTTCAAGTTTCGTGAGACAAGCATACTCAGAGGATGGAACTATTCTTTGATCATAATGCAATAAACACTAAACCAAAATTGGCAACCAGCTTCAATCATATCTGCTAAAACAACAGAATTTTGCCATCCTAATGAGATATCTCATAGACTGGTTGGATAATTCACATTAATCCGAAATGCTTGAAGAAGAGCAAAGTTGGTCTGAGCATCTTTTTAAATAACCAATGAATCTAGACTGTCGGTCGTTAAAAAGACCTAGAAAAAGAATAGAACCACTATTTAGCCAAAATACACTAAACATAATATTAAGAACGGTTGAACTGGAGTTAGTCACCATGCTACCTGATGAACTTGCAGAATTTCGGTAAAAGATGGTTTCCTCACTGAAGATGTCTATTGTATGTAGATGGAAGGCCAGAATGGATTAATCGAGGTCATGAGATAATGTGCTTAGAACTTCTTCGTAAAATCCTATAGTCAAAGGTCGAAAGCGATCTTGTTTCCGAGTAATCTAATGTACGAATGACATATCCATAACTTT